CAGACCCACGACCTAGGAGCCAATAGTTCCTCTATATTTGTTTTCTAATTGTATTCTTTTCTTCTTTACATGTTCTTTCTATCTGAACTTGACATCCAGAGCCATACCTAGGAATTTCGCTGTGTTTTGGATTGATGCTTAGCACCAATCAAACTCAATTGTGATGGTTTCACTAAATTTTCGTTTGTGAAATTCACATGTACAGATCAATTTCACACAAAGTACATCACATGATTTACTTTCATTTAGCCTTATTTTCATGTATTTGTCCTTTTACTTATATTGTTACTTGCTGCCTGTAATTTATTTGTCAGCACTTGATCCCACTCTCAATATTGATGTATCGTCGGTAAATATCTCGAAAGTAACACCTTTATAAAGCATGTGTAATATAGGCCCAGAATACTGTCTTAACGCACACCAGTCCTAATTTCCTTAGCGTAGAGTACTCGACGTTCTGTTTGATTCGGAAAAGCCTGTCACATAAATATGACTCTAACACCTTTGCCTTTACTCTAACCTTTATTTGCCTTTACTCTAACACCTATTCCACAATATTTGTTATTCTGCGTACTTGGTCAATTGTTGCATGCTTTGTACTAAAACCAAACTGATGGTTTGGAATCAATTTTCTATTATAGGCATCAGCCTTGTTAGCAACAATAACTCAAGGGTTTCCCCTGTTTCCCTATCGTAACTTCCGCTGCTTTCTAAGCACTAGAAACATATCTTAGGTTAACTGCTGCATTTATCAATTTTTTCAAAAGTGTCATAGCCTTTCTCGACAACTCTCTTAATATCTCAGCAGTAATGAGATCAAACCATGGGGCTATATCAGTTATGTCCTTAGGATAATGACTTGATACAGGTTTCAATTCAGAGAATCTTGTATTTTTCCGGGCGACTTTCTGTATCAATTTGATAAAACCCTCCACCCCATAGGATAAGTGATCTCTAGCCTGCAGTTTAGCATTGAGATTTCTAACAAACGTCATGTTTGAAGCCTACCCAATCTGTAATTTTATTGACTAAAGTAGGTACGCTCCGTTTGTTAGCTATTTTCTCACTAAGGGTTACTATTACAGCAGAGTGATCGGAATTCAAATTAAAATCATCTTCTGAGTATGCAAAAATTTACTGAAATTCTTTTAGATATAAGAAATTCAATAAGATCCGGAACTTTTTTAGCATCATAAGTCCAATAAGTCGGATGGTCAGTAGAATGATAGGAATATCCCAACTCCCGTATGGCTTTCCTTGGTTCTCTACCTCTAGTTAAGGTCAATCTAAAGCCCCAATCCATATGTTTGGCATTATATTCACCTCCCAGCAAAAATCGGTTTCCTTCCGCAGATGCTTAAAAATATCCTTTTTATGTTACATCTCGGTGGACAATATACTCAACCAACATTGAAGTCCTGCTTGGTAGCTTTAATTTTAACCACAATAAGTTGAACCTACACAATCTCTATTTCGGATTCCTCATCATGTTTTATGATGTCCCTAATTAAAATAGCACTACCTGCTCTTGAATGGTTACCAGGATGAGTTGCCCTACAGCATCTATAACTCAGTACATCCAAGTCCTTCCCCCAGTGTCAGAAACGCACTCGATATCAGACATACATCGATATTTTTAGTTCTAAAAAAAACCGCCAATTTGTGCCTTCCACTTAGAACGCCATTTCCCCTCCATTATTCGAGTTTTATATACTGTCATTTTTCAGAAATCGCTTCAGCTACCGTTAGGTTAGATTAGGTAGTTAGAAAAAGTTAACATATTTCTTTAGATTTTTGCATTGTATTTTTATCATTTTCTTTATGCTTTCTTAAGTTTTTATCTATATAATTTTCTGCTCATTTGGAAGCCACTTTTGAGTATGTAGCACCATTTCTTACCGCATTTGATGTAAAAGAATTAATCATTTTTGGGGTCCTTTTATGAATACCCAGGATCCGTTTAGGCCGATTCCTTTTCATTCTTCTTTTTTGTAATTCCTTAGGCAATAAACAACCCCGGTAACTAACAGATTGTACCTCGTTCAAGTTTGCACACCTAGCCTGAAAATTATCTTTCTTATTACATTCTGCCACCATATGATTACCAGCACATTTAACACATTTGACCCTTTTTTGGCAAAACCTTTGCGTATGACCGAACCTCTGGCATCTCTGGCATTGCAGGATGAATCCATTATTTCTAAGAGGTTCAACTTTTACCTTTATGTGCTGAAGATATTCTATTTTATATATTATACATAGGTCTTTGGTGTGATCATAGGACAACATATAAAGGGGCTTTTTGATAGTATTTACATAATTTTCTTTTATTTTTTTAATTTTATTTATAACATCTACACCCTTTGTATACCTACACTCATGTAAATTCCCTTTGGATAAGTTCTTATTTAATATCTTGTGGCTCATATAATGGATGTGAGCCAGGTTTCTGACCATTACTTTAATTGGCCTCGTCAATTTATTTTAATAAGTATGCTATTCCTTGGCATTATTAGCAGCTTCATTAAATTGTCTATTTTCATTTTCATCATTTATTTTTAGTTGATTGTTGTTCATTATGTTTACCTTCACGTTAATACTTTCCTCTTTGAGGATCCTTATTAGGTGCGTGTAACTAGTTATGAGGTTATATAGAGGTTTATGTTTTCTAAGTTGAGTATTCTTGATGGTTGTAGATTTCTCCAACCCGGTGGTATTAATTTCTAGTGAACTAATTTCTAGTGAACTCTTGGCTTTTCTCTTGGCTAAAGAAACTCTTCTTCATCTGTTTCACACACTTATTTTGTCTTTCTTGGTGTCATTTGAAACTGCATTCTGATGTCCCAATATTCCTTTATTTTTTGCCTTAAGTTTTGCAGATTTCCTTTTTCAGCTCTTTGCACAGTTTCTCAAGTCGCTTATACATGAATCGACCATTGGCTCCTGATAGACCTTTTGATAGATATCCCTACCGCATTTTTATTCTTATTATTGGACATTTCATATTTGTTTATAAGCTGTATGACTATTAACCCAGCTGTGGTTTCTTCCAATGCCGTCCCTCTGTAATCAGACGCAGACAAGGAAGCCGCCCATTTTGGGTCAGAGGCGCCTGGATTTTGTCAGTATTTTAGTGGACTCGTACCACAAGCATATCTGCTGTGGGTATTGCTACTCCCCAACCCACCGGGAGAATCCACAATACATAAAAAAACTTTGAAAAAGTAAAAGCAAATGAAAAGCAAATTGAAGACTTTTTTCTCATCATGTAAATTTTAAAATACAATTTACATGGTTAATGATGTAAGAAAATAAATCTATAAAATGTAAAAAAAAAAAAGAAAAACATATCGGCTTCATAGGTTTCGTACTAAAAACTTATACAGAAAACTAAAAAAATATTTAATAAAGCATTGTGATAGATGAAAGAACCGTAATAGTATCATAAAAAATAAATGTATTGACAGAAAATTTAAATTACACACTCTATCATAACAACACTGTGTACTGTCTCCCTCTATTATTTACTAAAATGAAACAATATAAACATAGTTTTCTCCACTCGGAAATTGTAATATTAAAAGTGTAAATATTAAAAGCTCTTCATTCACGCATATTATCATTATCAACGAATCTGCAGTCTATTCTGAATATTATTTAGTTGTAATTACAAAACTTTGAAATGTCACTTCTGCAATTTATTTTATTTAAAAATTTTATTGAAATACTAGAATTGATTTGGAATTGATAAAATTTCATAGAACGGTATAAAATTTTTACATAAATTTATATGTTTTCGAATTTTTATAATTTTTGTTATGAATTTTTCCTATTTAAGTTGAAAATAGAACAAGAGCGATTTTCCACGGAGAAAAGTCAAAATTAGTAGAGAATACACATTATTGAAATAGGACTGCCCACTCGAAGAACTGGCGGTAAAATAATATGAATTCTTATTTTACTGCTGGCGTCTTTTTTTTTTATACCCGTACGAACGTATGTTCGAAGGGTATACTAAATTTGCCTTACCGTTTGTAACGCTAAGAAATAACGGTGTTAGATATAGACTCAAGTGTATGTTTTTGATCAGCGTCAAATTCTGAGTTGATTTAGCTTTGTCTGTCCGTCCGTCCCAACGATAACTCAAAAACTAATTGAGCTAAGTTCACCAAATTTTCACAAATGATTTGTTGTAGTAAGTGCCAGAACCCTATTTAAATTGGATATGATCGGGGTACCGGTTCGGGTAGCTGCCATACAACTTCAAAATTTATTTGGCTATATCTCAGAAACTATAAAAGTTATGGTATTGAAATTTCACACAAACGAATATATTAGTAGGGCCAATATGCCACATAAAAGTCGTTGAAATTACTTGGCTCCTTCTGGTACCTGCCATACAACTTCCAAAATATTTGGCTATATTTCAGAAACTATTAAAGCTATGGTATTGAAATTTCACACAAGCGAATATATTAGTAGGGCCAATGTGTCACATAAAAGTCGTTGAAATTACTCGGCTCCTTCTGGTACCTGCCATACAACTTCAAAAGTTATTTGACTATATTTCAGAAATTATTAAAGCTATTGTAATGAAATTTCACACAAACGAATATATTAGTAGGGCCAATGTGTCTCATAAAAGTCGTTGAAATTACTTGGCTCCTTCTGGTACCTGCCATACAACTTCAAAAGTTATTTCACTATATCTCAGAAACTATAAAAGCTGTGATATTGAGATTTCACACAAGTGAATATATTAGTAGGGCCGATGTGCTTGATAAAATTCGCTAAAATTTCTTGGCTCTTTCTGGTAGCTGCCATACAACATCAATAGTAGTTTGGCACAACCAGTATTTTGAATAACACATAGTACTGAAATTTTGCATAAATTAACATGGTAATACGGCAACTTAAAGTCATAGTCTGCCCCATAGTTAGTTATGGCACATTAGTTATTCGCACATAGGATAACAAATTCGTACGGGTATCACAGAGTTGACAAGGTCAACTCTATTTTTTTTCTCGTTTAATCATACAAACGACAGTTGACCACGCGTGTGTGATATTTTATGCAAAATACTAACACATAATTTTATAGTTCTTTTTTTGTTCTGAGTTAACAACGGAAATCATCCGTCGTTGCCGGTCACTGCCTTGCTTCTGCTCACCACTTTGGTTACAATTAAAATACCTTGTGCCGTCTAAGTGAATTGTGTATATAAATGAAAATATTTCAATTTTTTCTCTAAAATATATTTTTAAACACTAATATAATAATGTTGCACATTGTGTATGGATGAGTCTGTTACGTCTACTGATGTATGTATATATAATATTTATATTCTATACATATGTAAATACTCTTAAGCCATAAAACTTATTCAAGTGGAATGATTCATTTTTTAGCAGCAATTTATTTTGTTAAACAATTTTCTCTGTTTTCTTTTTTCCTTATTTTCTTTTACTTTTCATATTTTTGCTGTTTAACACGTTCGTGCGGTTTAAAATTTATTATGTATGGTGTTACCATCGGAAAGAAATAATTTACATAAAATATTTTTTAATATACAATAAATTTTTTTTTCTTTAATTTTTAAGTCGTAACAGCTATTAATGTAAGTCTATGAATCAAATTTAATATAAATACAAATCTGAAGATTAGCTTGATAATGCAGCCTCATATTAATATTATAATAATATCTTATTTTGTATTGAAGTTAATACTACTGTATTTGCAGAATATACATGCACAAAATTCAAAATAACTAAACTCTGTAATAGAAAACACGGATTTTTAATTATTGTTGGGGAATATTAATTAAATCAAAAATATTTTTAAATATTAAGAATATTCTGGTCCGAACAAACAAACACTTAATTTTAATAAATGTTATTTGAACATTTATAGAACAAGAATAAAAGGTACTATTATAAAGTCATGTTTGACTTTAACAAATAATTAAAAGGCGGGGGGATTCCGCCTCATATACGTATGTAAATTTTATATTCAAAATGGCTTAAAATCTATCTATAAATATTTTCGTTCTTTATATGCTTATACAGTTTACACACCCCCTTTATTTCATATTTAATAATTTTTTTAACTTTAAATATTAAATATATAATTTATTATTTGCGGTACAGTAAAAGCATAAAGTATTTTCAACAAAAATCAAATATTAAAACACTCAATTTTGCTAGTTCGATTTAAATTTCAATATTTTTTTCTACAAATTTGGACCAAATCGAAATAATTGTAAAGTTGCATATTTCTCTTAAAGAATAAAAAACAATCTTTTTCGAAGCAACTATTTTGTTGCACCTATAAATGATTGCTATATTTACAATGTTCTTCATATCACAATAAGAAGGTAAATGCATACTTTTCGTCGAAGGAACACTTAAATTAATACAAAAAAATATTTACCGTTACTTCGTAATTTTAATGCAAAATGTATAAAGTTTTAAATATAAAGTTATTTTTGGAAATGACTGTAAATTTTATTAGTATAAAGGCAATAGTACATATTTTTATTATTAAATTGAATCTATATATTACAACAAAACTTTATTGCAAAACTCAAAATATAATATTACAGAAAAAGAAAAAAAAAATTAACCCAACCGAAGTAAAATTTATTTATGATATAAATTCATATATCCACACACATATATGTTATATATATATATAAGATTATGTTCACGTATTAGTTTAATATTATGAAAAGTAGGTCTATGGTCTAGACATTCAGTCTAATTTTGAGTGTTTTCGAGTATCATATTTATTTATAATATTATATTAAATTTATACATTAATATGTATGTATGTACGTAAATTATTACTTTACATATTTATACAGGAATATCATAATATGCGAAATTCATTCAAAATCTGTAATACTAAAATACAGGCTTCCCTCAAATAACGCTGTTAATTTTTTCTGTGAAATTTATACATCATTATAACCTAATTCAAAATTTTCGTGCACATTCTAAAGATTGATTTATTTTTTATACACAGCATTGCATGCCAAAAGGGTTATTATGAGGTTCGCATTTTGAATTTTCGACGGAAATACATTAAACTGAAATGAAATAAACTGTCTTAGAAAGATATCCGTCTGCCTATTTATCTGACAATTTCATTATTTTTTAAAAGCTAATTAACGAATTTTAAAATATTGCTTTTGACACTTTTGTTTGCTCAAAATGTCATAACATTACAGTCTTAAAAGTACTTCGACGATTCAAAAAATACTCCGAATGCCATTTAAATAATTTTATTAAAGCTTATTTATGCGTTATTCAAAGTATACCTGTTTTCAAAACATAATTATTTACTATGGATCTATATGGATGAATAATTCAAACATCTAAACATATTCCAATTTTTCATATTTGCTTCATATTGCTATTTTTAAACGATTTCGTAAAGCGCTTTAACTTTTTACTTTTTTATGCTTCATGTTTTTCTAAATAAATAAAATAAAGGACTCTCTAAAGAATGAAAATAAATTGTCCTTTGGTTACATAAATTATATTATTTTATAATAATAGTTTTGCACACACATATATGTATATTAAACGTGTACCATGTATGTTTCGAATGTAAGGAAATTATTTTGTTAAGATATGAATGAAAAAAACTTAAGAGTACATATACATATAATTGTACATATAATACTTTAGATTTATTTTATACAATTTTTTTAATTCGTATACAACCCATTAATAATGAAATATAATAACTTTTACTTAACATATTGTTCAAATAAAGAGTTACAATTTAAATTACAACTCATGCAATATTATTCAAAAGAAATTAAATTGTTATATTATGCAATAATATTTATTGTTATACAAAATGTAAATGAAAGATTGTCTTACTCTAAAATGTGTCTCTAAAACGTTAAATTTTTAAAGTTTTCAGTGACTTACGAAAATTCAAAATAATGTTGTCAGATCTACTAGGTGTAATGATAATCCAATAAAACCGCCAACCTCACTAAATCAATAAAACTAATCGAAAACTATTAAAAGTGAATTTAGGTCTTAATTAAAACTAAATGTCTGTAAACGTTATTATAATAAATTAGTAAAATCATAAAATGGAAAAAGGAAATGAAGGATTATTCCAGCAATCCAATAACTCAACACAGTGTATCCAAAATTCGCAAGTGCAATTTCGTCTGTTTTTGGTCGCCAAACACTCCTTTTTCGAAAATTTATATAAAATCATCTAAAATTAAAATGTGTAAAGATTATTCATTTAAATATAATAATAAATTCTTTAAATAATGCAATAAAACTTGAATTATTTTTAAAAATAGTTTTTTGTACCTTGTTTATTGTGTACAAGACATTCTATAAGAAAAATATTATTTATTTGAAAAAACTTTTACCTGATAATCAAAAGAAATAGTGTCTAGACATGAGCATCTTCTTCTTATATCCAACTTTTTTAATTTCAATAGATTGATCACTGCTATACAAATTATCTGAAGAAAATTCAATGAAATTTGACTTGAACATATTTTTCTTAATATTAAATCTTCAATATTAGAGCAATTTTCAGTTAATTGTTTAAAGCCTTCCGCTGACATATTTGATGTAATAAGTAAATTAAGAGCTGTTAAATTTCTAAACTTAAAACCATTGTTCAAAGTTTCATCGGAAATTTTCTCACATTGTAAACTCAAGTACAACAATTTTTTAGACTCCAACTCAGGTCCTATCAAAGCGTTATCGGTTACCTGCGGAAAGAAATTAGAAAATATTAATCTAAAATTATTACAAAGTTTTTAATTTGAATTTTTCATACATTGCCATTATGAATTACTAAATCAACAATGTTCTTGCAGTTTTCCAAAATTCGATATAAACTATTATCAGTTAAATTTCCGCTACCGCCATTTAAAATTCTCAATTTTTTTAAATTTTCGGCTATAGAAATGTAATCTGCATCAGTCAATTCCACATTTAAAAAACTCAATTCATAGATATCGCGATTTTTTCTACATAAATAATTAAAAATTCCATTTGGTTTGACATATTTCAGGTTATTTATTGCTAAAGATTTGATATTATTCAATTTTAAAATTGGTTTAAAAATAGAACTTGTCAAATTTTTATTATAGCTCAAATTTAATTTTTGTATATTTGGCAAATTTTCCAATATTTCAGTTATATTTTTATCGTTTAATGTGTTAAGATTTATGACACTTAAATCAGTTATACTTGACTGAGATTTTAAAAATTTTACAAAATATTCATGAAACGACATAATCCCGTATTCAGTAGAAAAAGAAAATTCTTTTAATTTTAATTTTGATAAAGTTGCAAATTCTTTCCAATCTATATCAACAACTGTCCAGGATTCTAACTTTAAATTATTTAATGATTTTTCATTATTTTTCACTATTACTCTAAAGCTATCATCATCGTTGCTACTTTCATTACACAATATGTACAATTGTTCTAAATTTGTAATATGACAAAAAAGTTCTAAAGGTTCAGAATTTTCTAAATTTAATGATCTTAATTTGGGTGATAAAATATTTGACATTTTCTCAGAACATTCTTTTATAGTTAAGTCTAAATAGTTTTCACTCAAAGAACATTCGAATATCACGTTAATACACTTTAATTCTATAAGATTTGGTAAGTTTTTTAATATTTCACATAGAGTTGAATACGGAATTGACACAAAGTTTTCCAACGTCAAATTTTCTACATTATTTGTTATATTTGATAAAGAAAAAAACTCAAGTAATTGATCGTTTGCAATATGTGCAAATTCAGCTTCCTTCGGAGTATAATTAACAGCATATTCATTCAACTTTAAATGCAATGATGAGAATCTTCTACAGCTTTTCATAAATAAATCTTGGACTGCCTCATTCAACCGAGTAAGCTTTAAACATTTTAAATCCAAAAATTCTTTAAATTGAGAAACTTTCAACCATTGATGGCATGTTTGTTCAGCTGATAATATATCTTGGACGTCTAAGTATCTATATATGTTGGCTATTACCTAAAATTTATAATAAAAAAAATTTGTGAATATGCATGAGATTTATTCTCTTCAAAATATTTTTAGTTCGAAAGTTAAATTTAATGAAGAACTAATGAAAATACATTTTAAAAGATTAATAGACAAATATTTTACAGACATGGTTTAATTCGAATTTTCATATTATGGCAACGATTAAAATTAAAACTAGAGTAATATAGAAACTTTTGTTAATTATAACACAGCTGCAGTTATAATTTTCTACACTCTAGAGAGGAACGTGAAAACATTTGATTATGCTGAATAAATCTGCATAAGCACACACCATGAAAAGTGAAATGCATAAAAAAAAATGTGCTTTTATTTCGACTTCTTTACACTGTTTTTACTCAGTTTATTCTACAAATTCTTTTTATTCCAAATTTATTTTATGCTATTTTTTACGTATAAAAATAATCTCTCTCAAGTCTCAGTTACTCAATTATTTTCATTATTTCATAATATCTCATCAGCTTCTCTTACTGCCCTTACTATTATGTGTACATTATGTATTTAATTTTTGGCATTGTTTAAATCAAATATTTGAGTATTTTAATAAGTTAACGGCGAGTCAAACAATTCGAACGTGAATTTTACTTTTTTGTAATGACTTTACTTTTTTGTAAAGTCATTAGTCAATTGATTGTTATTACCTCTATTGGTAAGTTATTGAAAGAATGCATTACGCAATTAAATGATTTTAATTAGATTAAAACCATAAGACACTTTTAAAAAAAATTTTTCCACAGTTTCAATTTAGTATCACAGCCTATGTCATGTAATCACAGTTTAAATTTTTTAAATAACAGTAAAAAAAATATAATTTGATAACATTAGTAATCGCGTAAACTGACTATCATAAGCACCTTTTTCGGTGGCTTTTAAAACAGAACTGACAATAATGAGCACCTATTTCGGTGGTTTTCAAAACAAAACTAAAACGGTGAAAAGAAATAAAAATATTTATTACTAATGTGATAGCGTGACCGTATCTCTAGTTTATAAAACTAGTGTGAAAAAAATACTATATTTCTTTATGTGTTAGTATTATTTTTACTTTTTGATACCACAAAACAAATGGATAAAGTTGATATTAGAAATTAGTAGAAAATGAATAATTGGTCATTTAAAACAAGGCTTTATTTTTAACATGCATTTTTAAAAATTTTTTTTAAAAGAAATTTTTAAAAGAAATAATCAAGTACATTAAAAAAAATAGTAAAAATGTACATTGATAGTTCTGAACCAGTTCGATAAAAACTTTTAAGTTTCTTTCCCTGCAGTTCCTTCTGGCATCTATATACACCATTTATCTGTGCTGTAATTGTGTAATTGAAATATCTTTATTTCACAATTAAGTAGTAACATAAAATTATCTATCTATATAGATATATATGTACATACTTTGCAGCTTCGGTAATCTGAATCAAAAATAATATATTCATTCGATTCAAGTATTTCAATACGATTCGCCTATCATATTTTATATGTATGTGTACCGATTTTAGAAGCCTTCAAAATTGGTAATTGTTCTCTCTATTCGGCCTTTAAAAATCGTAAATTTTGTTTTGAAATTTCCATTGCTTTCGTATTGTTTTGTTCTCCTCATTTTTTGTCTTTTTTTTTTTTTGTTTGCGGAATATATTTTAAGTGTAAAATTGAAAAGCTTTGAATACCAAAGAAGTTTTTTTATTTTCCATTTAGTTGTTTTAGTTTGAGCATACAAAATAAAGAAAAAAAATTCATCAAAACTTATACATACATATATTATTTGACCATGTTATGTTGAAATTGGTTGAAATATGTAAATACGCATGAATTTTTAAAAATAACATATATGTCGTATCAATAGTAATCTTTCAAATGTTTTTACTTATTTTTTAATTTAGTTTAAAGCCGTGGTTTTCAAAAAAAATTAAAAGTTTGTTGAGAATTATTTAAAAAGATTACAATAATAAAACTCAACGTAATTATATTTATTGGTTGAAAATTTTTATACAAACAATAATTCACTTGCCAATCACCATATGATATATTTGTTTGAGACCGCAGCATAATCTCAATACAAATTTTTCAAATGAAATTATAAAAGTGAAAACGGAAATGATGGATTATTCCAACAGTCAACCAACTCAACAGCATGTTTCCAAAAATCACAACTACAAGAACGCAAATAGTTCGGTGCAAAATTCTCCTTTTTAGAGCTTTTAGATACATGTATCTAGAATTGGAATATTATTAATATTGATATTTGCACGTATGTATGTAAGTAATCTAGAAATTATTTACCTGACAATCAAAGGCAGTACATTTACATTTTCTTCTAATATTCAACTTTTCCAGTTTTGAAAGATTTATTACTGCTACACAAAGTATTTGCAGAAAATTCAATGAAATTTTATTTGAACATATTTTTCTTAAAATCAGTTTTTTAATATTTGAACAATTATCAGCCAATTGTTTGAAGCCTTCCGCTGACATATTTGAAGTAATGAGTAGATTAAGGACTGTTAAATTTTTAAATTTAAAACTATTAATCAACGTTTCATCGGAAATTTTGGCGCATTGTAAGCTTAGGTATAACAGCTTTTTAGACTCCAGCTCTGATCCTATCAAAGCATTATCGGTTACCTATGGAAAGAAATTAGAAAATATTAATTTAAAACTATTACAAATTTTAAAATCTGAAGTTATACGCACATTGTCATTATGAATTACTAAATCAACAATGTTCTTGCAGTTTTCCAAAATTCGATATAAACTATTATCAGTTAAATTTCCGCTACCACCGTTTAAAATTCTCAATTTTTTTAAATTTTCGGCTATAGAAATGTAATCTGCATCAGTCAATTCCACATTTAAAAAACTCAATTCATAGATATCGTGATTCTTTCTACATATGTAGATCATTAAAAATCCCATTTGGAATTTTGACATATTTCAAGTTATTTATTGCTAAAGATTTGATATTATTCAATTTCAAAATTGGTTTAAAAATAGAACTTGTCAAATTTTTATTACTGCTCAAATTTAGTTTTTGTATGTTTGGTAAATATTGTAATAATTCCGTTATATCTTCATCGGTTAGTGAATTTACATTTACTATACTTAAATCAGTTAAAAATATTTGGGATTTTAAGAATTTTATAAAATCTTCGTAATATGTCATCATTCCGTAATCAGTAGAAAGATAAAACTTTTTTAGTTTTGATAAGTTCGCAAATTCTTTCCAAACTATATCGACATGAACTGTCCAAGATTCTAATTCTAAGCTACTTAGTGAACTTTCGTTATTTTTGACTATTGCCATAAAACCGTCTTCATCCACAATACTTTCATTATATAGCACGTACAATTTCTTCAAATTTTTGATATTGGAAAACAGTTCTAAAGGCACACAATTTTTTAAACTTAATGATCTTAATTTTGTTGGTATAATATTTGACATTTTCTCAGAAAATTCAGCTATAGTTGAATCAAAAAAAAATTCATGCAAAGAGTATTTAAAATTTACTTCTATGCCTCTAAATTCTTTAAGATTTGGCAAACTTCTTAATATTTCACATAGCGTGGAATAAGGAATTGAGTTAAAGTTTTCCAACGTCAAATTTTCTATATTATTTGTTATATTTGATAAAGAAAAAAACTCAAGTAATTGATCGTTTGCAATATGTGCAAATTCGGCATCTTTCGAAGTGTAAAAAATTGTACTTTCATTCAACCTTAAATGCAATGATGAGAATCTTCTACAGCTTTTCATAAATAAATTTTTGACTGCCTCATTCAACCGAGTAAGCTTTAAACATTTTAAATCCACAAATTCTTTAAATTGAGAAACTTTTAACCATTGATGGCATGTTTGTTCTGCTGATAATATATCTTGGACTTCTAAGTATCTATATATGTTGGCAATAACCTAAAAACAATAATAAAAAAATTGTTATTGTATACCCATATTTCATTACTTTGCTAAATTTTTTTAGTTGTTTTCATCAGCTATTCAATATAACATTTTAGGCACGAGACCTAAAATATAATAACATAATGTACGTATTTGTTACTACATTTGGTTACAACCAACAATAACTTTCCACTTTGTAGAAACACTAGAAGCTACACGAAAACATTTAATTAGGTTTATGTATTAAAGTATGACGATAGCATGCATGATGATTAAAATGTGGTTTTATACTTTTAATCTCTCATTTACATCTCTTTTACTCTCTCTTTATTCTACTAATTAATTTTTCTCTGTCATTTTCAGAATTTTTTACTACTTTAATCTCCTGTTAAAAAATTGTCTTCGCTTTGGTGATAACAAATGTTTCGCAATTGCATGGTCAAATAAATGTTTTTTTAGATGAGTCAGTTATTTCATGCTAAATAAGTTACGAATGCATGCACCATCAGTGGGTAAAACCAATTGATTGAAATTGTCTATGCTATTTTTACCTCTACTGGTAAGTTGTTGAATGAATACATTGTTTTATTGACCAATTTTAATTAAATAAAAAATTAAAATACTAGATATATTTTTCTTGTCCTATATCACAGTTTGTGCCTTTTGATCGCAGTTAATATTAATAATTTTGTGAGCCAGAACCGATAAGTATTATACACCTATTTCTCTACTGCTTTCGAAACAAAACTAAAAGAACGAAAGATGAAAAAATCTAAAACAAACCATTAGTCAATAAGTTAGTGTGGCCATACATTAAATTTATAAAGTAGTGTAAGAAGGGAGCTGCCGTTAAGCATTTCTAGAGATTTGGAATTGTGAACTTTCACTTCCTTCAGGAATAATTTTGTTTCAATACGTTATAGTGCTTTTCGATACCTCAAAACAAATGAATAATCATAAAAGACAGCAAATCGAAAAAGAGACTTCATAAAAAAAATTGTCTTTAAAGTATTTCACAAGGTGTAAAGTTTGCACAAAAGATATAACGCTAATTGTAGGTAAATTAGAAAACGAATCGAAGATTCTAAGATAACTTTAATGTAACCCCATAGTAGCGTCAAAAAAGTCACTGCTTTAATAATTTTACAATTATGTAAGTTGTGCATTTTTAGTGTAAATTATGTACATTTTTCAAAATTATTCCCTATGGCTCTATATTAATTAAATTCCTCTTAAGGGGTGCAAGAACACATGATAAATATTTTTTAAATTATGATAAAAATAAATTAAATATTTACTTTACGCACTTAGGTTTTGGACTCCGAAATAAACGTCATACAATATAAAAATTTTTAATATACTCGTAATTCTCTTTATTCTCTTACCCATGTAAAATTCTCTTTTTTAAAAAAAATATAAAGCTAAAAGCTTTTCATTTGAAAAAAAAAGCTTTATTTCGCATTGAATAAACGTTTTTTCAAGCATTTAAAAAAATAACATTATTTACATCAAAACTTATGTTATGTTAAAATAACATAAACTGAGCTGTTGCTTTTATATTCTCACGTACAATAGCACCTATTATTCATCACAAAATTTATTTATTTGATTTTATAGCTCAATATAAATTATTTAATTTGAATTATAAAAGATAAAACGGAAATGATGGATTTTTCCAACAGTCTAACAACTCCACACAGTACGTCCTAAAATCACACGTACAAGTTTCTCTAAACTTAGTTGGAAAATCGTTCTTTTTGGAGTTTTTAAATAAATATATCTAAAATGAAAAAAAAAATTATGTAATTTTTTAATTAGATTTTATTATCTGTTCAAATTAATTAGTACTGTAATTCAAGTTATAATTAAATATAGTGTTATATTAGAATAACGAAAAGAGGGTGTTACCATATAGATGTTATTTTGAGCAAATATAATTTACCTCATAATCCCAGTCCATACATACACATTTTCTATTTACATTCAATTTTTTTAGTTTTGAAAAATTTATCACTGCTATACAAATTATCTGTAGAAAATTCAATGATATTTTACTTGAACATATTTTTCTTAAAGTTAAAACTTTAATATTTAAACAATTATCAGTCAATTGCTTAAAGCCTTCCGCTGACATATTTGAGGTAATGAGTAGACTAAGCACTGTTAAGTTTTCAAATTTAAAACCATTAGTCAACGTTTCATCGGAAATTTTCTCGCATTGCAAGCTTAGGTATAACAATTTTTTAGACTGCAACTCTGGTCCTATCAAAGCGTTATCGGTTACCTATAGACAGAAATTAGAAAATATTAATTTGAATTTATTACAAAGTTTAAAATCTGAAGTTCTACGCACTTTGCCATTATGAATTACTAAATCAACAATGTTCTTACAATTTTTCAAAATACAATATAAACTATTGTCCGTTAAATTTCCGTTCCCACCATGTAATACTTTTAAATTGCTTAAATTTTCTGCTATAGAAATATAATTTTCATCAGCTAATTTAACATCTAAAAGTCTTAATTCCAACAAGTTACATTTCTTTTTACAAACAAAGTCATTAAAAATTCGATATTTTTTTGCAGGTTTTAAACCATTTAAAGTTAAAGAATTAATATCCATCAAATTTGAAATTGTTTTACATATAACACTTGATAAATTTTTGTTATAGCTAAAATTTAATTTTTGTATATTTGGTAACATTTCCAATATTTCATTAAAATCTTTGTTATTTAATTTGTTTATATTTATTACACATAAATCTGTTAAAAATTTTTGGGATTTTAAAAATTTGAGAAAACTGTCGTAATATGACATCGTTCCATAATCAGTAGAAAGATAAAACTCTTTTAATTTTAATTCGGACAAATTGGTAAAATTTCCCCAATTTATACTAACATGAAGTGTCCAAGATTCTAACTTTAAGCTCTTAAGAGAACTTTCGTTATTTTTTACTATTGTTTCAAAACTAGCTTCATCTTGAATACTTTCATTGTATAACACATGTAATTGCTTCAAATTTTTAATACACTGGAATAACTGTAATGGTTCACAATTCTCTATACATAATGATTGTAATTTTAAAGACATAGTATTTAACATTCTTGTAGAATATTCCCATATATTTGGATCAAAAAAGAATTCATTTAAGGAATATATAAATTTAACTTGTTTACATTTTAGTTCTTTAAGATTTGGCATGCTTTTTAATATTTCACAAAAAGTTGAAAAAGAAAGTAATTTGATATTTTCCAACGTCAAATATTCGATATTATAAGTTATATTCGATAAAGAAAAAAAATTAAGTAATTGATCATTTGTGATACGTGCAAATTCAGCATCCTTTGGAGAATAACAGTTGGTGTACGCATTAAATTTTAAATGCAATGACGAAAATTTTCTACAGGTTTCCATGAATAAGTTCCGAACTGTCTCATCCAACTGAATAATTTTTAGCACTATTAAATCAGTAAATTCTTTCAATTGAGAAACTTGAAGCCATTGATGACATGTTTGTTCTGCTGATAATATATCTTGGATGTCTAAATATCTATATATGTTGGCTATTACCTGAAATTTAGAAAATTTTTTTGTATGTAACGCGAATCAAATTTAAGTCGCAATATGCATTTATCAAAATTATATTTATTATTACTTCTATAGGTAAATCGCTGAAAGAATGCATTACGCAACTTAATTTGTTTTAATTGAATTAAGAAAACAATGGAATTTGTTTTTATTTTTGTTTAATACGACAGCTTTTTTTCTTTTGATCACAGTTTCAAATTTTTTTTAATATAAAAAGTTCAAATAATATTTGCGAACACAGGCTTTAAAAGCTTCTGAGCACCTTTTTCTATTGTTTTTGAAACACAACTAAAAAGCAAATAGTGACAATAAAACTATTAGTTAACAAGTAGTGTGACCATTTATTTTTTTGGCAAGATAGTGTATAACAGAAGCACATGTAAATGGTACATGTAAATTTATAAAAACGAACTTTTGGAGTGAAATAATTAAAAGTCATATTGTTTTGTAACAAATACACCTAAAATATTAAGTACCACGAAAATTTTTCAGCTGTTCAATGAAAAATGAATTGTTGTAGAAGTAGATAAAAACATAATTTTCATTTGATTTTTACTTTGTCACATATTTAATTATTCAAATTCAATATTATTCACTTTACATTATTTTAGGTACTTATTGCGTGCAAAGCCCAAAAGTAACATAATTAATAGTAAAATAAGATGTAGTAAAATTAAAAACTACTTCTCTTTCTCTCTCTACTCAACTTTAAAAAACAAATCGTAAGCACATACTGTTTTTAAATTTATATTACGTTAAGTAGCTTTGTCGCTTATTTTTAGAAATAATGCTTGATATGAAAAATGCAATACAAGCTCAAAAAGCTTGGAATTCCAAACAAGTTTTTTCTTTTTATTTTATTTTGCTTTATTATTTGTTTTATACCTTATTTTAAGCCATAAACTAAAGTGCAAAAAATGAGTTATCAAAACGTAATTTTAACAGAACAACATGTTAAAATGAAAGGCACTTGCAATTTTAAGAAAATAGAATGTAACAAAACTATTGCCATGTGATGTTTTTAATAACATTAACATTCATGTACTTTTCATTAAAGAGAAAAAAGTTGCACTTAAGGCATAAAGTAAAAAAATAAAACAAAAGAAAGTATTCGAAACAAAACAACTATCAGTTATTGAACAACAATACCAACATTCAGTAAGAAGAGATAATTGTAAAGAGAAAAAATTTTTCCGGTATAGTTAAAGGTTAATTTCAAATGTTCATTTTACAACAAAAAATATTAATCTTTAATAAAATTTTTAACGCATAATAACGTTATGGAGGAATAGATTTCTCATTATTCAACTATTTTCTGACTTTAATGTCCCACCATTTCCAATAACTCACTTCAAGTACAATATTCCAAGAGTGGTGCCTAAACTACAAGGCAAAGCATATTAACTGTTTTACATCATTAAAATTTAAACTATTTCGCACTTACATAACCTATAAAACAAAAAAATAAGGATGAAAAAGGAAATATCCCCATTTCCTTCTATGTCATTTAATAATTTATTGCACATTTTTAAAGTAATTTCCTATTAAAATTTCAAAATTAAGAGAAAATTCAACCCAATTTCTTTTATTCCTGCTCGTATAACTAAAATAGAATCATGTATTATGCCAATTTATTGAAAATGTATAAACTAAAAACTTATGTCTATTAAATATGTACAAAATATTTCTACATGTGCCCCTAATTGAAATATCAGCAATGAAAAAATCTTCAATTTCAAAAAAGAAAAATTTAAGTAAAAAAATACGTTTTCATCATGGAAAGAATTAATTTTCATTCAAAAAAAAGAAAAAACATGCAGTTGAGTTTCCGTTCCATTGATCTGCTTTTTATAAAAATCACGATAATTTAAAAAGTGCACATGATGGCCTGTTTAATATTATATTTTTTACTTTCCTTTAACTTTACAGCGCGAAAATTCTCAACACAAGATGTAACTGAACTTTTTAACTACGGAATCTGGTGCAGTTATATGTGTAACTTTCTTTCGGTTAGCCTTTGTAGAGTCGTTTCGACGCTGATAATTTCCTACACCCGATGGCTGCTGTTGTTTTGTTACTTTACACTGTTACATTTCTCGCCTTTTAATTTTTTTATGTTTAAAGTTTTAACCTACTTGACTTGTATATTAGCTACATTATTTTGATAATAAACACTTTACTGAAGTTCTACATTCTGTTATGGCCTGGCATGATGAAATATAATATGCATTTATGTAACTTTGTCACACTATGAATAAGATTTTTAAAATTTTATAATGTCATCAACTGCAGATTAAGATCTTACAACACTATATATGGTGCGCATATACATATACTTTACACATGTGAAGTAAAATATAATCTACTATCTGTGCTCTATTACTCGTATGTAGAGCACAGATATAAAAAATACATGTGTATGAATGCAGCTTTCTGATAAATAAATATACAGTATTTCTTAGAATGCTTAAGAAAATATTTTTAAAAAGAAAAAATTTTTAAATAAAAACTAAAGTAAATTTCAGTTCTGCATTAACCAAAAGTAAAAATTACATGTTGTCCTTCTTATATACTGATATAAAATTTAAAAAGAGAATAATAAATAAATCAAAGACTCTAAAATATTGTCAAGGTTTTTCCATTGCACTTCTTCAATTTTACATTGATATGAGTAGTTTTCGTTTACAACCGAAATATGAGAAAATAGACGAAATTTTTTTTTTAAATTCAATTAAATTTAGTTGAGTATAAAACGCATTAGTTTTTGATGGTAAACCTTATTTCCGCAGTGCACTAATAAATGCAATAACGATTCACCTCATGGATAAAAGAATACCTCCTTTACGATCACCATAATACTAGCCCCGCCTAAAACTTCTGAGGCTCCTGACGACCAGAGTAAGACAGCCACATAGAATATGTACGGCCATCTACTTCAGTAATTAATCAGAATACTACACTTAATAATAGCAAATAGTGAACAATTTTGTAAAATATTTTAAAGTATAAATGTTCTGGTTGTAGTTTTAAATTATTTTGAAGAGGTTTTAGGTATTTTACTTTTCTATATCTTAAAACTCTAATAAAATAAAAAAAAAATCATTAATTTAAAAAAACAAAAAAGATATCATCAAGGACATTATAAAACTACTCATTTACACTTCGTATACATATTTTGTATAGTTTACTTACTCTATATTGGTATACAATTTTTTGGTTTTCAAAAATGATTGTATAACATTTAAATAAAACAAAATGTGAACACAACCCAAAAAAAATTAAAAACATCTCACTTCTTTTACCTAAATTAAAAATATAGAATAATTTTTAATATAAGATAACTGTATAATTCATATCCAGTTAACAATTTTTGCTTTTTATACTGCTCATTTTTCATTTGAATCTAAATTAAACTTAAATTTGATATAGTTTCGTAGAACAGTGTGGTGTAGTAATTGTAAAATACATAGTAACATTTGAAATATGTAGTAATTATTTTCAATTTTATTCAGGTGTTGCGAACTAGAAAAAGGTTGGCTGATGACGACCCCTTCAGGCCTCTGAACTTAATGCCGTACATGTTTCATTTATTTTCTAAAATTATGGCAAAAGAGAAAAAAATCTGTCTATATAGAAAACAATTGAAAGGAGTAACCGGTTTTTCGGCAAGTATGTTCCTAGAGTCTTTAAAATTATAGAGATTATTTTTTTTTACAGACAAAGGCGTTTTCGAGAAGTAAAACTAAGGAATTGATTTCGATGCACTGGATCAAAGATGTATTTAACGTAACTCTTATTAGACAACGTATGACATCAAAAACAAAATTACATATTGCTGCGCTGTTTTTGTTATGTTTGTACTTTTTCAAGCCAGCAATATGTAATCCAGCCAACCATTTGCCAAGGACAAAAATTTTTCTACAAATTTTTATTAAATGAAGGTGTGTTTTATAATAGGTTAGATTTAATAGTAGATTTCCTTTATTGTAAGAAGTTACCTCTGCCGTTTATACTTAAAATGCTTGACTGTCACCTGTAGTCTAAAAACTTTGTGAATGGAATATTTTTCGGGCTACTCTGTATTGTATTCGAATAAGAATAATACATACACCTATAGAATTTTAGTAATAACATCCTTTCTGAATTAAGTCCCATAAAATAACATTTGTATAAAAGTAATATAAAACAAAATTGTTGAATTAAAATTTTTGAATTAAACGAGGATTATCTACCCATTCCGATTTCAAACAAAGTTAAACAAAATTACTGTATATGAGAAGAAATAGAAGATATAAACAATGTTAAATTACTGACATTTGCCCTACAGGAGTGAGCGCATTTAGTAATTAGTGTACCATGACATATGCAGCTATTAATCAAATCCTTTTCTTTTTTTGTAATTTTATTTTCACCACAATTTTTATCTCTTTTTTTTTCAGAAAAAATTTCTATACACATTACGTTACTATTATATAATATAAAAGGCAAAATAAATCTTGCACATGCAATTTGTTCGTATATTAAAATCGCAATGGGTGGAATAAATAAAAAAAAAAATTTTGTATGTGTGTTTTAAAATTAAGAAAATTGAAATTTCAGTTTACATTGGGATAGGACACAGAAATAGAATGCACATTTTTAATAATTTTGCTAGTTAGCACCGAACCTTTTATAGAGAAATAGTTGGAACGGCGGATCTTAATACATTGACACGTAATGTTCCAAGTTCCAAATACTAATTTCAAAATTCTCCATTTCATCTTCATTATGTTGAGAGAGCTTCTTGTGGTTATTACAAATTTACTAAGATTTATCTCTTCGTGGCAAAGTTTTTTAATATGGCGGAAGACTTCTTAAAATTAGGTATTCCCAAATTTTCAAATTTCAATAATTTTCATTTTCACCTCTTTAAAGCTTTAGATTATACCTATTTTCTGTTGCACAAGCAGACTTTCAAATAAACGTGGCAAATTATATGCTCAAAACAAATTATATCCAATTAGGAGATTCAATAATCTTTATGCTTTTATCTTAAGGAAAGAGCTAAATAATGTAGAAATGACAAAACTCTCCAACTGAGAAATTATATGATATGATTATATGAAAAATAAGTTATACTCTTAAAACTTTTAGACATATTTCATCATAACAAAACTTATATGTGCATATGTATATATAAATGAATTAAATAAAATATTAGATTTCCTTATAAGTACTTTTTTCATTTCTACAAAAACTCATGTATCCATTTTGAAAATTATCCAATTAATTATA